AGATCCTATTTACAAACACCATTAGAACAAATCATTCTATTCATTAACAGAATGTAACTATATATCTATCCCATCCACTTTGCATACACAGATACAAAATGGACATTCATCGGTATACCCCATTTTTTCTAAGTTCCGTTATTGATTATTATAGGTGTGTAAACTCAGCAAAATATTCTAAAAGAGTCCAGTAGCCCATAATAGCACTGGGTCTTCTGTTTATCTGACAATGTCAAATTATTGACCTGAGTTCCCTACAGCTCAACATAACATCATGGCTTTATCAGAAGCCTTTTCTGCTGTCAGTTTCTGTCTTTGATATTGCCTAAGAGCTTTGACAATTTTATATCTTGGCTGTTCATTAGTATATAGAAAGTTTCCTTTCGTTTTCTAAAAACTGATTTTCTGTGACCCTTGAGGAGCATGCACATAAAAAATTTGTTGTCAAAAAAAACTTTGTTGTCATGACTTTATAGTACCCACTGCAAGTTTTTATTCAGGCGTCCCCAGTTTAACACTGCCACCAAAAATGGACATTCAGAAGCCTACTGCTAGGAGAAAGTCCAGATCTAGTTCCAGTAAAATACTAAGTATACTCCATCCTTCCCAACATCCAAATCCAGCCCCAAACACTAGAGTGTACAGAGCCTGTTTAAGGGCTGAGAGGTAAGTGGCTGCAGTACCTCATGTGAGAACGGTGCTCTTACTGGAGTATATGACCCCGGCCGCTCCGCCTTCTCAGCCGCGAAGGGGCCTGTGCACCTGCTCGAGGCGGGTGCGTTCTGCTCCCTAAGGCCTTGCCGCCTTGCCTTGGGAAGACATGAGCTCCTGTGAATGGTAATTTGTATTTCTGTTTGGCAGTTTATTCCTCCATCTGCTCATATCCCTGGACCTCTGAAAAATTTTTATCTTCTCTTGCTTGCATTCTGTATCCTGTGTACATGGTAAAGATATTGTTTCTGCTGCAGGTTAGTGCTTTGCTTGTACTCTGTTAGCTTCTTTATACATAATTCACATATTTTATAAATAGTTATAAAAATCCATCCTCTTGTTTCCTACTATGTTTAACAAGATCTTTCCCTTGCATAATTTTGACAAACATGGAAAGATATTCTACAACGAAAGCTTAGGGGTTTTAGGTATACCCATAAGAAATGCAAAATGATTTTTTTGTTTTCCTTAGTAGTATGTTCGCTTCGTCTCTCCTTAGGCTTCCACCACACATAGACTCCCCCGTGGAGATTGTCCAGCTAACATGAGAGGGAAAATTAGGGAACAGTATCGCTTTTGAAATGTGATTTATACTTTTTAAAAACACAGAGATAATTGGCAGAATAATTTGAATAATGAAAACATCCCAAAGTTTTTTGTGCCATACTTTTCTTCTACATAATACACATTATTATAGAACTAATGCGCGCTTTTAATTTGAAACTTTAGAAAAAGTTTTTTTGTGATCAAAATTATAGTGAATGCTTATTATTATTATTATTATTATTATTATTATTATTTGGTACCGGGAATTGAACTCAGGACCCTGCGCTTGCCAGGCAAGCACTTATTCTACTGAGTTATCTCTGCGGCCCTACTACAGGGCTGGTATTTATTACAGGATAGCTCAGCAGCATAAGTGCCTGCCCGGTAAGCGCAAGGTCCTGAGTTCAATCCCCCGTACTAAATAAATAACAGTAAAAGACATGTTGCCACTAAAGCCCCTCAAAATAGGCTCCCTTGCCCCAAGCACACTTACACCATTGCTCTTGCCACTTTTTATAGCAGTTCTGGAAGTCCCATCCCGTGGCTCTTTGTGACGTGATCAAAGCCACAAGTAGCGCTCTGCCGGGTGCCACCCAGCCAAAAGGCAGGCCATGGAAACGCACCAGGGGTCCCCCTGCACTCTGTTCACCATATTCGTATTTACATAGACATGCAGTTTAAAAATGAAATTGTTCCACTAAATGTTAGGAGAGATAGTAATCTGGCCCTCACCAGCTTCTAGCTTTCTCTCCTTCCTTCTTTCTCCTAATTCTTTCTAGTGAATCTTGTGACATGTACTATAATATCTTTGACACTTTTCCCAAGCTTTCTTCTGCATGTCCCTCGTGTCTCTGAACACAAAGGCGAGGGTTCTCTGACCTCCTGTGGCTTCGCTTCCTCTCCCACCCCATGCCTCCCCCCATAGCCTTGCTGTCCCTCCTCGCACTCTCCACTGTTGAGTTCAGGATCTGCGGTGTACATTATGACAGTTCTTTAAATGCTGTCCACTGCCGAGCCATGTCATTTCCTATAGTTACTTTTTCTTTTCTGCATAATATTTTGTTTCTGGTAGGGTTAATAATTGCTTGCTTTCTGCTTTAGCAATTTTCTCTGCATTTATGCACTCCCAAGTTAAGGCTCTGCTCAGTCTGTCAGAGCCACTGCCTGTCCCATGCATGTCATCATGGGGAGTCTCTGGGGCCTGTAGTCTGCTTGTCTTTGCTTTAGCGGCCTACACAGCTCATGACCCTCCCTTTCACTGGTGTCCTACACAGGCCTATGTCTTCTTTTGTCTGTGTTTGCTTGCTTTGTGGAGATATTCTGTACTTTTTCAATTTTTATTTTTTGCGAGTATGTTTGCTGTACATATTGGTCACACTCAGGGCAGCAGTTAGTGCATGCATGCAGCACATTAACTCTGTTTCATTTCTCCGCTTCTGTCCATCTCCTGGTCCTTCTCTCTTTTGCAAAAGATCCATCTTCCTGGTTTCTGTTCCCGATCCTTTACCTTGCTCTTTATTTATATTGGTAAATATTCTGAGATAGAGAGATAGAAATGGAGACAGTGTGTGTGTGTGTGTGTGTGTGTGTGTGTGTGTGTGTGTGTGTTTCAAGGCTTTAGTTTATCTGAGTTGGAAACCATATTCCTTAGAATTTGAAGAGGTTCTTTTGCAAAGCCATCTTTTTTTCCAGTGTTGCTTTAGAAAAGTCTCAGATCTGATGATCATCTACCTACAGCAGGGTCCTAATCTCTGGGGCTCTTGTGCCTCTTCTTGGCCCCCTGTTTCTGAAGTTCCCTAGCCCACACCTTGCCCTGTAGGCCAGTTTGCTCCTAGTGTGCTGGGCACTCGAAGATCTCTTTGAGTTATAATTCCTGTCATCTATGTGATCAGTGCCACAGATCATGCTTACCTAGAAACCTTGGGAATGGCTTTTCATAATGGACAATTTGAATAAAATGTGTTTTTCCCAAAGCTAGAATATTGGGAGCTAGATGTTGAAAAGCAGTGTGGTGATTAAATTTGTCAACTAGAACTTAGGGTGCTGACAGGCATAAAATGCCAATATTTACACATCTCAGTGGCCGAGCCAATGTAAGGCGCGGCAGGCAGGTCCCTCCAGCCGCATTCCTGTGTCCTCATTGGCAGAAACTCTCCTCCCCTTGATCCTGGTGTGTCCCTTCTCAGGGCTCGGCCTCAGCTTCACAGCCTTATTTATGTCAGAGACACGTAGATGAGCCTCATGTAGTGCCCTTTAATTTAGAAGAATGATGGTGCATCCCACTTCACTTTTTTTCATGTGTTTCATTCTTCCAGCCTGATGCTTTAGCTAAATTGGTAGGACAACTGTCCATTAGGCCAAACATGCCAAAAATATATCTCTGATTTTTTTCCCTGGACAATTAAATTTTGTTTTTCCAGAGCAAATGTTTGGTAAATCATTTAGGCCCATTAGTTTTTCTCTGCCATATAATTTTTAAAAATTAGGTAAACATCTGCTAAAATGCACTAGAAAACATGCTGACCTGTAGGGAAAGTTCCAGAGCCAGATTCTTCACCTGCTGGACATATTGTTTCCAGGGACTGACTGCAGAATGGTAAGCCCTGAGTGGGTCAGCTTCATGGCAGGGGCTTTGTGTGTCTTAATAAAGTCTAATTCTAGATACTCTCATGTGAGTAATGATTTTATTTTCTCCTTTCTTGCCAGCTTTTTGGTGACTGGGAAGCCCAAGTCCGGAGAATAATGAAGCTGATTGCTGGAGGTGGCTTGTCTATCACCGGCTCTCACAACATGTGTGGGGACTATCTGTACAGCGGGCACACGGTCATGCTAACACTTACCTACCTATTTATCAAAGAGTGTAAGTCTGAAACAGTTCTCTGTTACAGTTTCCTCACTTGCCATTTTCCAGGGTCCTTGGGACCTTGGGCACACCACATTTCATGGAAAGTCTGCTGAAGCCAGTCTAGAAAATGCAGAGTCTGGCACCCGCATCTGGTCAGGCTGGGATGCAGTGTACTTCTGGGGCAATGGCAGAGGGATGTACCTATGCTGCTGGAGAGGTTTCTTGTGCCTGACAGTGCTGTGGTGGAGGCAGTTCCAGCAGAGCGTGCAGAGGTGTCCAAGCCAGGGACACAGCTGCTGTAAGCAGGCAGCAGAAAGCCATAAGGACTCAGAGTCCAGGGTCAGGCCCAATTGGAAGGTTGCATGTTGAACTGAGCAGCCACTTTTTCCTCAGCGTGCTCAGTGCTGAGGATACCACACAGGTCAGAGGATGCATCCGCCCTCCGAAGGGTCTCCCAAGGCTCAGGGCTGAGACAGACTACATAGGAAGTTCGCTTGAAGAAAAGTACTTAAGATACTTCTATGAAGCAAAAAGTGTTACAGATGCACATATCACTGTTCAAATTTAAAATATGTTAGCATTTTTCCATATTTGCTTCAGTTAACCCTTTTAAAAGGAAAAAAAGTACAATACAGCATATGATTAAACCTTTGTCATTCTCATTCACTGATTTTTCTCATATCATTTCCTCATGTTTCTGTATTATTGATTTGTGACTTTGAAATTTTATATAAATAGCATCAGGCTATGTATATTTTTCTTTCTCTCTTTATTGCAAACTATGGCTTTGACATGGAGACTTTTTCATTCCTTTTAACTGCTGTTAGTATGTCAGTAGCATAATTGAGCTACAGATTACTTACTCATTTCTCTACTTACAGAAAATCCAGCTGTCCTTAGTACTACACTTTACTCTTGGGACCGGTCTAGTAAGTGTTAGACAAGCAGTTCTCAAGAAGAGCTTTCATAGAGGAGGGATGCATGTTGCAATCTGGAGGTGTCTTGGGGGCATCTGGCACTCCAGTCATTTCTGTGGTGGAATTCAGAGTGGGAGTAATGATGAGAAATAAGACTGCACTGGTAAGCAGTAATGAGATCAGGGAGGTTTTTCCAAGCTACATAGAAGTCTGAGCTTCCCTCTCCTGGATGGAGGTGCCTGCTGCAGTGTAGGACCCATAGAGCAAGGTCACTGTATTTGCTCTTTAGAGAACATACTCTTGCAGCAGCTTGTGTGTTAAGCTGGAACGGGACAAGCCTGTCCCGGAGGAAGGTGGGGACTGGCTGCTGCTATAACGAAAGAAAGAGAGGGTAATGGCTTGGACTATCATGGTAGCATCAGGGATGGAAAGAAATGAAGCATACTGAGAGAGATTAATAAAGAAGAGTTAACAGATAACATGGAGAGATTATGGGGTAGAAGAGAGAGGTGGCAGAGTGGATAAAAGCACAGTTCTGTCCTTAGAAACAAGATACTGGGACAGAGAAGAGGAAATGATCCAGAGGACAATGAGAAAGAGAAAGTAGAGATGTTCTACTTGAAGTTAGTATGTAATCAGGTAGAGTAAATTCTTGCGTTGCTTCCTAAGCATCCACAGCCACCATGTAGAGATTGTACTGGACGTAACCAGATGTGGAGAATGGGAACCACGGAGGCCAGATGCTGGCCGAGTAGGTGGCTCCCCACCCCAGCTGGTTGACACTTGAAATCCTTTCATCGTGTCAGGGCTTCTGCCTCTTGCCATTAAGGCATTGTGTTATATTGGGAAACACAGAGGCCTTGGATCACAAAATCTGAGTTTGAATCTTAATGTTATCATCTGCTAGTTCTGTGACTCTGGGAAGAATGTTTAACTTAAGTCTTTATGAATGCAGCTGCACAGAAATAATAATAGTTGCTAATGTGTTATTAAATATCAAGTACAGGCATTACTAGGTTGTACTCCCGCCTTCACTGTGCTCTAAATTTGCAGATAACCCTTCACTTCTGCTTCTGAAGCACTTACCCTGCTTACCTACTGTTACTTTTCCACAGCCTTTACTACCCCTAATGATGGTACACAAATTATTGATCATGATCACAGTCTTGTCTCTTCCCTCTTAGAGAGACTCTCCCCACATAGGCAGACTCTGCCCACTTTGTTCATTGATCAAGATACAGCAGCCCCTGTCCCTGCTATACTGCTCAGAGAGTATTGATTGAATGACAATGACTGAGTGGTTCTTGGACTTCTTGGGATGTTGTGGACTGTCTCCTATGGTGTGAGGCCAGGTCCATTCAAACTTCTGTCTTAAATTCCAGACTCTTGAATTCCCTCCCCATGGAGAAGCAGTGTAGAAAGGCTTGCATTAATAGGCTTTTCACAGTGTTTCCCCCTCGTGCCTGTCCAGGTGAGGATACAGGTAAAGAGCTGACAGTCTCCTTTCGGGAGACTTTTGACCTGGCGTTTCCAAGCATTTGACCTCAACATATTTGCATTTGATAGTTGCAGAACTTGGAAAGTAAATAAAAAAGAAATCAAGATAATTTCTTAGTCTGTGTATAAAGATCTATGGGCCAGTAAGTATGTCGTAGCAAGCGGTGGTGGCCAGCCTCTGGCACATGTGCCAAGCAGGCACACAGAGATGTCCCGTCAGCACACGAGCCATGTCAGCCCAACAGCCAAGCGTCAATCAGTAGTTGTTTATTTCTGAACCAAAACCTCAGTAGTGAGGTTTAATTGCAGCGCTGGCCCTGTGATCAGTAAATGGGCTTGGGGCAGCACTTAGGGCACTTGACCTCCCAAAGGTTCGCTATCACTGGTGTCACGCATTCTGCCCAGGTGATGAGGAGATGAATTTAATTAAATGCCAATGAATAGATTTTTAGAATGAATACATTTTTGATTAGATTCATCTTGTAAACTGTATTTGTGATTGCATGAATCCAACTTATGAATGACCTCCATTCTGGGAAAGTTGCTAAGTTGGATTCATTCATAAGTCCATCAAAGTGAGTCTTATGCACCTTTGACACAAATATACGCTGTATATTGCTTTGAGCTTCCTACAATCCCCTTCCCATCACCACCACTTTTCCTCTTGCTTCTGGAGATCCTGGGCTCCGACTGAGCACCACACTGTTGTACATTGCCACCTTGTACAGTAAGTACACAGCAGCATGACTGTAGCAGCATCTGGCAGCCATGTGAGCTACTTCCTCGATTTGTTCACATCTGTGAATGCTTGCAATGTGAGGCCCATTGGTACCTGTGAGAGTTTGCAACGTGAATGTTCATAAGTCAAAGATTTACTATAATAACCAAATAGGAATTACTATTGCCAGTGAAATCACTTTATAGAAAGACTTTGTAATGTTCATTACAGATATTTACTAGTGCAAGAGATTTGTTTTCAGAAGGAAAGATCTAAAGAAGTTGAACTCAGAAGTAGTGTATGCGACAGAAGCACATTTGAGTACTTTAATGTTGTGACTCATGGGATTATTGCAAATTTCTCTCCTTTTCAGATTCCCCTCGACGACTCTGGTGGTACCACTGGATTTGCTGGCTTCTCAGCGTCATTGGAATCTTCTGTATTCTCTTAGCACATGACCACTACACTGTGGACGTGGTGGTGGCATATTACATCACCACAAGACTCTTCTGGTGGTATCACACTATGGCCAATCAGCAAGTAAGATTTCCCCCTTTAGCTTCTAGTGTTCCTGAATAGTACTGCTGCCTTGGGCAGGAGAGAGGACAGGAGAGGAGCAAAAAATCTACAAATGTCTTAAACTTTGCTTTCCTGAGGGGAAGTCAGCCAAGATTTTTCTGTCTCTTGTGATACTGATGAAAGTGTGTGTTCATATAATGACATAGAAGCTGGGCATGGTGGCATACATCCATGGTGGTATAATCTCAGCTACTTGGGAGGCTGAGATTGGAGGATCACAAGTTAGAATCCAGCTGGAGCAACCTAGTGAAAATTTGTTATATCAAAATAAAAGGGTTATGGATATAGCACAGTGGTGTCATGTCCTGTGCTCAATCCCCAGTATTTGGGGGAGGAGCTTGTTTCCTTCTAAAGCAAGTACCACACTGCCATTGTCCTAAGCTCTGTCTTCCCATTAATTCATTTATATCCCTACCCTCTTATTACTCTGGGCCCATCACCAGCTTAAAAGTGCCTTTCTGTTTTCTCTGTAGAAGAGTGAATGACAAGATAAGTGGGTATTTTTGATGGATGATAGATGAGCAAGCCACATGTTTTCTTGCCAGAATAGCGGTTATTTAGCTGACTTCTTGGGTGTGGCCCAGCTTGCAATTACGTAGAGGATGGGATAACAAGCTGAGAGTGCATGGGTCATGCAGATGGCCATGGTCCTATGTGAGGTCCCTTGTGAATTTTAACATAGAAAATATTTGAAATTAAAGCAAAAAAAAAAAAAAAAGTGAGAAAAATGTGTATGTGTGGTATTTTAGGTGCTAAAGGAAGCTTCCCAGATGAACCTCCTGGCCAGGGTGTGGTGGTACAGGCCGTTCCAGTACTTTGAAAAGAACGTCCAAGGAATCGTACCTCGATCTTATCACTGGCCCTTTCCCTGGCCCACAGTCCACCTCGGTAAGCAAGTTAAATACAGCCGCTTGGTGAACGACACATAACAGCTGTACAAAGTGGGAGACTGAGGAACTGTCCGAAGTGCTAAGAACTCCACGAGAGAAGATGCCATAAAATAAACACCTCCCTGATTCTATTATCTTTCAACAGTTACCTTGACTTAACCTATTGAGTTACCTGGTCAGCACTGTGATCTTTTTTTTCTCTCCAAAGGACTTGCGTTGGACAACAATAAAGAAAATTTAACCTACATTTTCTGTTCCTAAGTTTGGGATTTACATTACCCACAGCTACCATGTTCCTTTGTATATGAAGCAACAGTATAAAGCTTTTATATAAGTTCTGGTCTTTCCAGTCACATCTGGAAATAAAGCGTATTATTTTCTTGGGAAAACATACTTTTCATATCTCTTGCCCCAAAGATTGGGCTGTAAGCCATTTTCTAGCAAATGTCTCTATGAATGTTTCTAAGTACCTGAATGAGGTTCGATTCTGAAATCTTCCTGCCTGTTGCACCAATGTTCAAATAAAAATGACAGACACAGAGAGGTTTGGTAACTTTGGATTTTGTAAAATCAACAGAGACAGTGTGTCAAAAAGAAAAAAAAAAACTTCTGTTACAAAGTGATTTTCTAAGTATTTCCTAACTTTATTTTTCAAAATGATGTTATGAAAACCAAATTTAAAGATTTTTACATGTCAGAGAGAAGAGAGTTAAAATGTAAAATGCTTCTTGGGAGAGAAATGTGTCTATGTTTCTAGTGCCTTTCTTGTCTTGATTGTATGGTCCGTAGGCAATCGTAAATGTTTTATTTAAAATAAAGTATTCCACAAAAATATACATGTATGTATACACTAATAAATTTTGCATTTATAGCTAAATTAAATCAGAAGGCTGCTTATGGTTTTAAAATTGCTTTGAATTAAAGGGTGAACTAATTAGAGAGTCCGAGCTTGTTCACGCACCGTGAGCAGGCAGAAATGACGTGCACCACTTCAGTTACTTTATCATCTGTTTGGTAATTTGATTTTAACTGCTCTATGAAAACAGCCATGAATATCTTTTTTTAAAAGAGAGTTTTGAAAATGATCACTTTACCTAAAACTTGAAAGCTACAAATTAGTTATCCATACTCTCATGACAATTTTGTTGGTCAACAACAAAAGAGATCTATTGCTTTAAAATATATTTATGCAGAAACTGCATGTAACTCTAAGTTTTACTCCTAACATATGTATGTTTGGGGAAGTATTCTATTCTATACTTGCCAATGTGGAGAACAAAATAGTTTTTTAAGAATGAAGAAGTATATATATCCATTCTGTATTTTATGTGCAGCAGAATTATCTACTGTAGGGTTTTTTGTGTATTCACAAAGTGATATTTGTATTGTAAAACAATAATGGTGAAGGAAATAAAACAGCTTTTAAAATTTTGTTTGTTTTAAATCTTTGTAAAGTTATTATTCCAGAGAGTATACTGATACCTTACAGCTTACCTAGATCCTAAATTAATCAATATGCACTTTTTAATAAAAACCAGTACTTCAAATAAATGGCTGTTGTTGCTAATGTGTTCACATTCTTCACAAAAGTCATAAAAACAAGACTGAAAGTGGAGTTGCAAGGTTTGTTCGCTGGGTTTGCCATGGAGCCATAGTAAGTCCACTTACTTTTTCCTTGAGATTTCTTAGAAGTACCCTTACTGTAGTTACTTGTACAGATTGTATTTTCTCACTGAGAAGAATTGTAGATTAGTTCAAACCATAAACCGTATTTGTAAAAAGTTTGGAATTCTCCAGTTCTCAAACAAGTCACTGTTTTTCTGGGGTTGGTAGAAGGGAAAGTACAAATCTGCAGCAAAAAACAGTGTGACAGCACTTGGACAGTCAGTGGTAACAGAAGCTCTTTAAAGAGAAAAACAGATGATTGTGTTCTGGGTGTGAAAAAGGAAGGTGTTAGCCAGGCACGGTGATACACATCTGTACTCTAGGCTGCTGGGGAGGCTGAAGTGGAAAGATAGGAAATTTGAGGCAGTCTCGGCAATTAGCAAGACCTACTTTTCAAATAAAAAATGAAAGGGGCAGGGAATGTAGCTTAGTGGAGCACCCCTCGGTTCAATCTCTGGTACCACAAACTGGAGTTGTGAAATTAAGCAACCCTACATGGAGCTTGGAAATCCTGGGGCAGGCGGAGGGATGTGGTGTGCTGTGGCCCAAAGACCAAAGAGAGCAGAGTTCTAGGGAGGTCCACATTTAACTGCTGCAGTTTTCCGTGACTAACTGGCCCAAGTGCTGCATTTTGGAAGGGGAGGTAAGCGCAAATGAATTCTCTAAAAATAAGATTCGAGGGTTTTTATAACTGAGATAAAATAATTACATTTTAAAAATCATGACTATGAGTTTACGTGCTTGATACATTCTAGGAAATTCACTCACTGATTATTCCCGGGCCTGCCTGCCTGAATTGATGTGAATTCTTGTCTCCTGCGGCTTTTCTCATGTGTAAACCTCAGAGAAAAGAGATAACTGGTATTTTTGGAAACTGCATTACAGTTGATAATAAGCTATACACCCCTAGACAGTAGCTTCAATTTACTTCCTTCATTTATGTATCAGTCTGGAAACCCTCACACAACCACAGGGTGTAGTTATTAGCCCCATTATTCATGTGGATCACCCAGAGCAGCTCAGATGTGTTAAATAACTTGCCTGGGACAAGCTGTAGCTGGTAAGTGCTGCAAGTCCAATTGGACCTCAAGTCACCCCCACAGCCTCCACTACAGGTCGCTTTCTGTCCTGGCCTGTATCTAGACGTCCCCTGGGCCTCCTGTGCGCATGAGTGGGCTCTAGAGAGGTGATCAGACCACTGGGGTGTGATACTCCTCAGAGGATTAGTCTGCTGCTGAATTGATGGCTGGGAGGCAAGGCCTGGGCAGAGGAGGTAGGTCACTGTGGGTGTGGTCTGGAAATCTGATCTTCCTGCCTTCTGCCTCTGTGCCAGCTGTTTCTTCTCTGTTCTGCCTTGAAACCAGTCTACTGTGAACTGAAACAGCCAGAATAAACCGCTCCTTCTTTAAGTCGTTGGTGCCAGGTATTGTGTCCCAGTGACAAGAAGGTAGCTAAGACCCTTCCACAAACTGCCATCAGTATCCGTAGGAAGAGGAATCTTCCTGTGAGGGGAACAGCGTGACAGCTGCTGTGATCTGAGGACCTCAGAATTCACACCATGAGGTACAAGAGGATTTTGCCAGTTGCTATTGTGTGTTGCATTTGTATCACAAGCACATTAGCAAAACTGATCATTTATTTACAATTTTTAATTTTATTTTACTATTTTGGAGAAGATGACTGTTTTGTTTGTATGGAGAAGATGGCTCTTCTATTTGTCATCTGATGTGCATTTGCAAATAGAAGCAACATTTTGCCAAACACTTGTTTGTGAACTGAATTGTTTACAAATAGAAATGTTGATAAACCAAGCTATTACTATATTTCATAAAGTGATAAATACTTAAAATGACAAGATATGCCAGCCTTAACCACCATACCAAAAGTCAAACAAATTTTTAATTAACTGGGAAACATGCTACTTGAAGGACTTGATATTAGTGTCCTTTGTCTTTTGCTTCTGATGGTGAAGAACCTTACTTTGAACAAATCAAGACTCTTGATTTGGTATTCTACTTGTTGGTACCTTAAAATATTTAACCTGTCTCCTAATTCAGAGTATAAATTAGAAGGAAATAAAATGATCCTTGTCATTACAGGGACCTTTCAAAATTGAAGTGATGGCCAACATCATTGAGTGAGTATTAACCATGTTTGTAACTTTTTCTATTTGTTACTTTTTTTTTCTATGCCAGGGGCTGATCAGACCCCAGATACCTGAGGGGATACATCAAGAAATAAAGACAAATCCAGGGTGCCAGGGGGACTGGGAGGAGTTTGCCTCTAGTGAACTGGCTTACCAGTCTCTGTGGTGGGCCTTGAAGGATGGGAGCTTCTCTTGGAACGGCAGCTGCAGTAGGACAGGGTGGTAGCATGGAAACAAGCTTAGCCTCGCAGAGGGCCTTTCCCATACCTGGATGCCTGCATTTTTTGGTATTGTCCTCTGCAGAGGTGAAATTGTCTTGAGAGACTGTAATTATGGACTTTCCCTGCACAGCCAGAGAAACATCTGTTTCCTGTAAAAGTCAACAGAGGCCTTGGGCCTGCGGGGCTTAGGCCACATAGCGTGGCCCCTGCCAGTCTGTGCCTATCATGTCTGGTCCTCAACAGTCTGTGACCTCCTTTTCTGCCTTCCTCCAGTTTTACACATTTTATACTCCATTTTCACTTCAGTATGCTAGTTATATTTCTTTATAAAAAATACTTAAGGCAGGCCAGGCTCAGTGACATACATCTGTAGTTCCAGCTACTTGAGAGACTGAGGTAGGAAGAACATGAATTTAAGGCCAGCCTGACAATTTAGGCAGACCCTATCTCAAAAAGCCCTAAGGATGTTCCTCAGTAGAAGAGCACTTGCCTAGCACCAAGGCCCTGGGTTTAATCCCCAGTATCACCAAAATTTACGTGTGTGTGTGTGTGTGTGTGCGCGCGCGCGCACGCGCACACACGCACATATACATGTAGGCACACGTGTATATACACTGTTTAAGCCACACGAGGTGGTACATATCTGTATACCTAGCCTCTTAGGAGGCTCAGATGGATCACTTCATACTAGGACTTCAAGTTCAGCTTGAGCAAATAGTGAAACCTAGCCAGAAAAAAAGGGAATAAAAGCACGTAATGGTTCCCTATTGGGTTAATAGTATCCCTTAGTTATTGCAGGATGATCAGGTCTGAAACCTTCCAAGGAGTGTGTGGTGAATGCTAAATAAGAGAAGCAAATGGGATGATTTCAGGGCTTCAGAGGGATCAAAGCCCTCTTACAGAATTCAAGATTCTCTCAGGGCTAAGACCAAAACCTTCTCTGGGAGGCCCATATTTATTTAGTTTATCAGAAGAAGGGAGAGGAGTACTCAAGAAGGACAGAACAACTCAAGGACTTCTCTAAGTAAAGTATTAAATTAATCTACCCAGGAGTGACATGCCTGAGTTCTGCTCAGAACTGCTTAGTAGTGATCTCTGTTAGTTCTCTAGAGTTTGTGATATACATTTATAATATACACACCTAAGCTAAGACTGGAGTGTAGTGCAGGTGCTGTATAATAAGGTAGTCTCGGGGCTAGCAAGATGGCTCAGCAGACTAAGCACCTACTGAGGCAAGCACAGGGAGCAGGATTTGTCTCTGGCACCATATGTCATACTGGTGCTGCCCCCTGACTTGCTGAGCCAGCCCCCAAGATGGCATGAGGTGTTGCATGCCTGTAATCCCAGCTCTGGGGAGGCTGAAAACAGGATCACTATGAGTCCAAGCTGTGTAGTGAGACCCTGTACCAAATACATAATGTAGTCTCAGTTCTTCCTTCCTGATGCTTTTATAACATTGCTATTACTCATTTATCTTATTCATGTGCCATAATCACCTAATATGTTGTTACTGTTATAACTTTTAAAAAGTAGTTGCCTCCTATGTTAACTAAGAATAAGAAAAATAAAAGGTTTTGAACAGCTTGGCCTAAGGAATCTAGTTACCCAGCCCATTCCTCCAGGACCTACACTGAGGTGCTCAGAACCATAACCCATAACCCTACATGAAGTGAAGCACCTAGAATCTGACAATTGGCCTGGCCAGAGGAACACAGGGTAAGTCAACTCTAATGAGAGGAAACATTTTGCATACAAATTTCTAATTTATGATTTGTTCCATTATATAACTAGACTTTGCTCCTCTGATCTAAATTACAAAACCAATAGTTACCGAAGTATCAATTTCAGTTTTGCTTGATGTTATTATTATTGCTAATTGTACTACTGTAACAAGGATATAAGATCTGTTTTAGCTACTTATTCTCCCTTAGATTTCAATATTGGGAAGTGCTGGGCTAATAACCTCGCCACAGCCCTACATCTAAAGAGGAAGGACAGTGCCAGATGGAAACCAACATCCCACTCTCAATTAATTGGAAATGCAGGATGTTGAGACAGAAACAAAGCAAAAATTTTTGACACACAGGAGATGTCCCTGAAGAACAGATGCTTCCTAGAGAGGCCATGATAGTAGTGATGGAGCTACCAACTATCAAAATTTCACAAGGACTATCACAGAAATCAAAATAAAGAGTTCTTTCTGAAATAGAAAAGGTGAAGGGGCAAAATGCAATCTCAGGTTCCCAAGCTCACACAGAACAAGCCCAGGAGGCATCAGCATAGAATCAATTGGGAGTTACACAGTTGAAATCTGTGAAATGATTGCACCTGAAGAAAAGAAACAACTCCAGATGGTATAAAGGAAATCAGATTGGAAACAATCTCTCAGGTACAAATATAAATGACAGTAACACACATATATATATATATATATATATATATATATATATATATAATTGTCAATGTCCTTTCATATACATAATGAAAGAATTACTGAGAATACCTAATGTTTTGATTAAAAAAGTAGGGGAACAT